TCCGCATGCATTAAACTCAACTGTACACACACACACACACACACACACACACACACACACACACACACACACCTGGCCTGCCGGTCCATGCTGGCGACACGGAGGCCCTCCCAGCGCGAGTTCAGCAGCGTCATCTGCTCGCGGATCTCATCCTCCTCTTCCTCGGTCAGGTTGCCCTGGGCAATGAGCTGGTTGCCCGCCTGCAGGACATTGCCCACGCTGCTCTGGTGGGCCGTCAGCTCCATCATGAACGCCTGCGGGGGGGCAGGGTGGGAGGCATCAGCGACAGGAACGCCACACTGGCACGCAAGGTCAGGGGTCAGAGGGTGCACGAGTCTCAGACAGGCGGAAACCCCCCCCATCCACTAATCTGGCTTTATAAAGACCTAGTGGAGACAAGAGGCCATGTGTTTGAAAGTGACTAACAAGGGATTTCACTCTGTCCTTTGCGTCCTGTTTTGTTTTGAAAGCCTTCCATGTATCATCCATGCGCCATTTGTCACGCACCCTTCCCCCCCCCCCAAAGGAAACAGATCGGGAGAGAATTATGACATGAATTACGACACATAATTACAAATCGTACTCAGTGAAAAACAGGCATACACACACATGCACACAGTGATCAGACACCAGCTGATCTGACCTTAAGGAATTTTTCTACTAAAGGAAAAAGGCACAAAGACTTAAAGGAATTAGAAATAAAAAAAAAATACTGCAGGATAGAGACGTGACATTTCGTAAGTCTCCGTCTCCATTTCCATGCCCCCACAACCTGAATATCACATGACTGACAGATCTCCACCTCCATGCGGAAAAACACAACGCCCCCCACCCCCTCCGGCCTCACGCAGCCTCCAAGGCATGTTAGCACCTAGCCAGATTCCAGCACACGCACTGCCACAGGGAATTCCTGGAATTCCTTACATTGTGATCCGATTCTCTCAGGCCAGGATGGCTCTACACACTGGATATAAACACCCATAATCCTCTAAATAATGCACGGCCCATAAAACATACCTCACAAACCCATAAACAGCTTATTCTGTGTTAAAAAGGAGCCCAAACCATAGCATGGTGTGTGATTAAGGGGACTATTCTGCTGCTGTAGCTCAATACGTAGCACACTGTGATAACACACAAAGGTCGCGGGTTCAAATCCCAGGAAAACACATAACCCCTCCCACAACTGAAAATCTCATTGGATGAAAAGTCAGATAAATTAGCAAACTGTATAAATGCAAGTTCTGCATCGGGGGAGGGGGGGTACCTCGTGGGTGTGGAACTGGTCCTTGACCTCCTCCACGTCGTCCGAGACGTCGTCCTGCATGTGCAGCGTGTCCTCGGCCAGCAGGAGCCAGGTAAGCACCTCCTCCAGAGCACTCTGGTAGCTGTCCAGGTCCACCTCAGGCTCACCCTCTGTCTCTGTCACCGTGCTGGGGGTGTCTGCCCGAGAGCTGCCAGCGCCCACTGTGACGGGGGCCTGCGGAGAGGCCACACGCTCAGTCTGTCACCATCACTATCGGCAAGAGTGATAATCACATACTTTTACATAAAGAATCGCAAGCACAGCTCACAATTATGCGGCTTCTACCTCAAAGCCGTCAGGCATTTGTCAGCCTAAAAGGTACAACTGCAATACACCTCACTACACTTTAAATAATAACCTCCAGTTCCTGAAACTGGATGTTCTCTCTTTCACAAACAAAACCCTTATCGTAGACCATTGATTTCCAATCCAGTCCTCGGGGACTCAGACAGTTCACGTTTTTGCTACCAGGAGCTGGGAGGAAGCAAAAACATCGACCGACTGTTGGTCCCCGAAGCCCAGATTGGGAAACACTATCCTAGACTAATCATCATCATGCAAGGCAAAGCACAAACGCTATGGACCAATCAAAGAAGGCCTTCTGGTGGCAGAAATGACAGCCAATGCAATTCGTCGTCTACAAATGCCAACTGGACTACTTGCCTAACACTGTCACATGATTACAGTGAAACCATAAACTTTCATTTCGCAAGCAAATGTGTGGTCTGAATTTCTGAAATAGTCATTTTTGGCTGGGTTGGTATACTTAGTACAGACCATGGTAAAATAAAATCCAGTGTGCACATGTTTAAACTAACAGCCATGAATAGCTATATTTCCACACCATTTCCCTTTGTGCCCAACTGGGAATAAGCACACACATTATCCTTCAGTTCTTGCCACCATGTGTCCAGGATTATCAGATACTAAACAAGGGAGGAGCATTAAAATAAAGCCGTCACAGGTTACCGGACAGATCCATGGTGGAATTCCGCTTTATATTTAAGTGCAAGAAACAAAGGAAAAGTGTTACTAAAAAGAGCCAACACTCAAAGAAACGGGCTTAGGTGTACAAGGGAAAAATCCCTATTACATTTTCCAGGGCACAAATGAAATAAACCCTTGTTCCTACCAAAATTACCCAGAATCCCCCAGGTCCTGCAGAAAAGGGCCATTTCACAAATATATTCCACTGCTTTCAAACAGAGCCATTGTTATTTCAGATGTTTCTTGGCAGGAATGTGAAACTGGGATGGAGAGCCCACGTATGGCTGCTGAAATCACAGACTCGGACGTCGGTTACAGCGCTGCGGCTTGGATTCAGCGAGAAAATACGATAAACTTGCACGGTGTTTTGGTACCGCATTGAAAACTACCGATGCCTATTTTTATGCACGACATATGATAACAGAATAACAGTTTTTAAGAAGTGTCCATTCTATATTTACTTGTATGTATGACATCTGTTTTCACTCAGCTAACCCACATCAAAACTATGCATCACTCTGCAACGTGCTTAACAATTGGGTGTTAATGTGAAGCATTTGAAACCAGGCGCTGGGAGATGACAAGACTGTAAAATAAATTAGGAATAATTTTGTTCTGAGAGGAATAGGTTTTTGACAAGAACTTGTGCTGGACTACACCAAGGCCAGGATCAAAGGATTTTTCCAAAGGGCAGGTGGATGGTGATGGCTGGCCAGAGTTTCGCCCAAGAACAGACCCCCAAGACGGTCTACGTTTTTCCTCTCCCCCAATTCCATGGCAATTGGGATAAAGTGAAAACATGGACAATCTGGGGGTCCGCAAGGACTGGGTTGTGGAACGCTGCTCTAGGGCAACATCTTAGATGGACAGGCTGGCTCCTAGAGCAACTTGAAGTTTGTTTGTTGTAGAGACTCTGCTCTGAGTCATACAGGAAACTACGTATCCCATCATGCCAAAGAACCCTGGGTGAACAGACGGCGCACGTTTCATCCAAGTGGTTCAGCTCATAAGCATCACTACCAAGGGAACTAAGCCTTTTTCAGGCACTGTAATCCTACCTGCCAGCAATACATCATTATCTTGCTGCAACAGGAGCCACATCTCCCTGTGTGGCTAAAGTTTATCTAATCTCCACGGAAACGGCTCACGATCTTGCCCAGTGCCTCCACTGCATCCATCTGCTGAAACTACAGGTCGCTGGAGAGGACACGATTCACGAATACGGACAGGAACCACACACCGAAGCCTGAGCGCGAACGATTCTCATCAGCAAGAAACAAGTCGACGTGGCAACCAGCCAACTCCACCCTTGTACACAAACGCGCACGTTAAATGATACATACAAACTGATGCTTTAAATCTGCACACTGTTCAGAAACACTAGAGGTGTAAATAAATAAATAAATAAATAATTGAACACATATATACAGAATTTTACCCCTGCGAGAGAGGATTCACCAGGCACTGATCAGACGCTGGAGCAGCCGGAAATCTGATCAGATATCCCAGTACTCAGCCAGCTACCATGAGGGCCCTCACCTGTCGGGGCCCCGCCGGAACCTCCTCCACCTCTGCTTTGTACTTCTTGGGCAGAGCCTCCACCTCGCGGATGTCGTCCATGGTGAGCTCCTTGGGGAGCACAGCGAACAGGGATGTCACGTACATGATGATGGACTTCTTGTCGGGCAGCTGCACGGCCACATCTAAGGGTTGGGGGTGGAGGGGGGGCGGTTGACAAGGTTCTATGCAAGAAACGTTCCAACAATAAAGCCAAGAGTCCCTCCTGAAACAGAGCAAGCTTAGAGCAGGTTTCAGTCTTTACCAACTCCTGCCCCCTGCTGTCCAACTTTCACTATAATCTCAACATGGAATAATTAGATAAAATTGAGAATGCAGAGTGCAATATAAAAAAGGCAAATGGCTATGAAATGAAACCAGGTGAGGGAATCTACAGCTCATAAATCAGGTCATTATCTCCTTCTGGGAAAATGGTGGGGGGGGGGTGCCTACCTTCAGGATCAAGAAGCCTCTCAACAGCCAGCTGGTCTTTGGCAAAGGTGAAGGCGTGCTCCAGTCTCTCTGTGGGCGCCATGCCCAATACCTTGTCAAAGCTGAACATGTTGGGTCTGGGGCGGGGGGGGGGAGATGGGGAGGGGGCTGGTGAGAAACACACGATGCCAAACCATAGGCGTGGCCAGGGTTGCCGCTATGGACGTTGGGCCCCATGGACGTTGGGCCCCATGAAAGCATATTATATTGGCCCCCCAACCCAGATCAAATCGAATCATGTTCTAAATTTTTTAGGGCCGCGGTCAGTCAGGGGCCCTTGGAATCGTCCTAACCACCTCCCCTTTATGACACCCCTGTGTTTGGCAACGAATGGACAGCATCTAAAGAGACAGGGACCCTTAATTGAAGAACTCGTTCATTGGCAGCGAACAAATTTATAGGGAGAGGTCTGTGTAATAATCACTGGCAATGGCGTTGGGGGGGGGGGGTTTCTGGCAAGCTGTCATCTGAGGAATGCATGGAAAAATCCTACTCGTCTGTCAGTGGAAGGAAACAAGGCGTCAGTCACTGCGACGGCACCGTTTAGGAGCGGTCATGACGCAACCAAAGGCGCATGCGGGCATGCATGATGTTCCCTCTGAAAAATAATATCCCCTGAACATCCTCCCATCACGAAGATGTTGACTTGCCCTCTGGTTGCTAGACGAGCCTTAGGACCGTAGCCCTGACAGGCCAAGCAGACAGGCAGTGCAGATTCTCCCCTCAGACATCCACACTGACATCAGCGTTTGAGAGAAACAGGGACAATGCCATCGAGAACCTGCCCTATAGTCACACTGCGTAACGCTGCCCTTCCCAGCACACCAGAATGACGCTGGGGAGTGAGCTGGCCTGTGTCGACACCCAGGCCTGGAGCTGCAGAAAAGGAGCAGTGCTAGATTTCCCAGCTTTACCAGTTATACCAACATCTCCGTGCAGCTCAACCAGAATGCCAAAATAAGCTGTTTCTCTGACAACATCCATACTGCGACCCAGTCCTATTGCCGCACAGAGACAGACATCCTTCGCACCCGGCCGCCGCTCACCTGTACCGGTGCAGTATGGCATTGAAGGCCAGGCCATCGGCCCAGCTGGTGGTAAAGTTGAGCACGTTGACCTGTTCGTAGGTGCGGGTGCAGTGTCGCACCCAGCTGAGCAGGATCTTCTCACTGTTTGTCTGCTGTAAGCTGGACATGATGTCTTTCATGATGTCCTTAACCTGAGCAATAAGCAGTCCAGATCACTCCAAATCCAATATCGTCATGCTTTGTAGTAAATTTCATCTGACATGATTGACAGAGAAAACTGCTTTTCTATTAGCCATTAACACAGACTAACTGCAGTAATCCAGGCTAAGCTCTTCAATGAATAACGCGAGAGAGAGCGATGCATTCTAGGGCTTAAGACCTTATTGGTTTCATCACCAGTCTTATTCCACTTACAGGACATCTGCAGAGAGCTAAAGGCGTTGACCCACCTGCCAATGCAGGATGATGTTCCAGATGAGGCCTAGAGTCAGCTTGTGGTTCCCATCCACAATGTCGGTCCCACCAATGTTAACTAGCTCCACCTGCAGCAAGGGAGGACTCATTAGTGTCGTGTATGCCAGACCAAACCAACGGTCAGATATTTTTAAGATAAACATCAATTCTACATTATAGGTTCCCAAAATTTAGATACGTGGAAGTTATTTCTGTAGATTTCAGCATGGACAACGTGCAAATTAAAAACAAACCAGTTTCTAATTAAACAGATGACAGGGATACTCCATAGATGAAAAGGAAAAACAGCAAATGAAATGAAAATCAGCCTAAAGCAGGGGGTGCCATATTACATCTCCGAACTCACTCTCCTTCATTCACTCGCACGCACACACGCACACGGTTTCTGCTGCATGAGACACTGCGAAATGCCAGACAGCAGGAGAAAATGGAGCAAAACTAATGCTTCTCCACATCTCGCACCCTTAGCTTCGTTCCACGCTCCAAACTCCCTTAGAAAGTCACGCCCCGCCGGTCACCCCACACAAACAAACCAGATAAATGAACTTTGTGCCAGCCGCTCATGAAGCAGCGACAAGCAAAGGCAGGACAATGGAGGCCACCGCACAGGGGAAAAAAGGAACAGGTGAGTAAGTCATGATAGGCTAATGTAATACTGCCACAGAGGGACACAGGGATGTCAGAGCAAAGGACAGCGTGTCACTGGGTCACACCAGGCTGGAGGCTTCCAAAGACACTCAGTAAAAAGACTGGGCTGGTTGGTTAGGGTACAACCCATGTTACAAAAACGGGTCCTTTCAGAAGGTTAAAACGGCGACTTTTGGCTTTTGGCTCAGACCTCGAAGGACGGGCATTCCTCCTGGTATTCCTGAAAGCTATTAGAAGCTCTTACCTAAGACTGTAAAAAAAGAACAACCTGACACCAAACACCCAAAGAGCCATCTGCATTCTTCATGGACTCAAAGCAACACGGCGTGATACCAATCGTGGGTGGGAAGAGGTGATATTGATGATGCAGCCACACTTACACCCCATACAACTCCGTCATGCCATTTTCATTTTGTGCGATCACATGCTCCATGATGACAACCCAGGCTGAGGGCAGCAGGCCCGGACACTTACGTTATTCTGGTGCAGAACTTGCAGGACTTTGTTGACGTTGTTGAGCGCATGCACTCGCGTGGAGCCCCGTTCTTTGGTCTGAGAAGAAAGAGGCAAAGCAAGCGGTTCATTACATCGACGGAAGATGAATAAAAGGAATCAATTTGGACAAACACCAACGATACATCCTGCGGATAAGAATCCAGAAAATAAGGTCACGTTCTTCTTGAGTAACATGATACCCTTTCTGTACTTAGTCTATTGCGTAGAGTATGTGAGTCACAGAACTAAGATGTGCCAACATGCAAATCCCATGTTAATGGATACATGTCAGTTTAAGCTCCGTTTTGGAACTGAAACACAAAACTTGAAAGGGAGAGATATTCCTTACAGAGTGCTGCCAATTGCTGTGTATCCACCAATGTCCTTATTCAGTGTAAACTATTTCTTGGCTCAAAACATTAGAGAAAAAAAAAACAGGGATCTCCTGACAGCCAAATGGGGCGTCCAGATGTTAAAATCCAACGATTCTTCTAGATGGGGCTGGGCGCAGGGACTTTGAGATCCCAAATCGCTGCATACCAAGACCGTCAAGATCTCTTTTGAATAAAGCCGGCCTCAGGGCATGCTGACAGTGTTGAGATGGAACCTCAGATGACTCTAAGACGTCCGTGCGCCAAGCTCCCCAAGGCAAACCCACACACCCCGGATTCAACAGGGCCCACTCACCAGCACCGTCCCAGTGAGGCCCTCCAGAAGGTCGAGAAGCTTCCTGCCATCCCGGAGGTCTGAAAACATGTCCTTGATGGGTGCCTTCCCAGCCTGCCAATAAACCAGAATAAATCAGTGAATGGGATGATGTTGAGGGAGGTTCTATTATGGAGGTCCAACAATCACTCCTGCCAAATGTACCAGAACTAGTCATGAGGTACGTAAAAGGGCGCAATCTCCCACAGATCTGGCAAACGTACGTTGAGGATGTCAGCAACCATCATGCTGGCTGGGAGCTTCTGTTTGAGCAGGCATCCCCTTTCCATTAGCCTCATAGTCAGAAGAACACAGGTTTAAATAGCTCTACACCATTACATAGGCAGCCGATTGGGGCATTCTGGGAAAACGTCTAGTGGTACTCCGTACTACCCCTGGGTAGATTTGCTTCAGTTCCAGCTGGCATTAACTACTTTCAGCCTATTTATACAGCTCCATTTCCAGATGTGCACGATAAGGATGGTCAAGGAAGCATAAAGGAGCCTGAAAATGGAATCAGACAGGCATCGATCCCGGTAAGGAGCGCCAGCCACAGCAGGGCACTGCAGGCGGCGGGAATTAGCCTGAGAAACCGCCCGCCGCTCGGCAAGTCCCGACATAACGAGCTCGGGGAGATTTACGGTACAGGGCCTCCTGGCATCCAGCGGCATTCTTCTACAGATCATTCCACATTCTCCGTTCCAGATTTCAGAAGAGATGTCAACAAAACACGGCAGAAGACGCAAAACTGTGCAAGACACGTACCCATGCAAAAACAGAAGCCTTATTTTTCCAAGTGTCTTCGAAAAAGAAAATTAGAGATCAGACAAGGGGAAGAGAGCAGTGAAAACAGGCTCTCTGTTCGCCTCCTTCCTAAGAAAGCAGCCGACGCAGCCGTCCGACGAGTCTGTAAACACGAGGGGAATGGAAGCAGATGTTGGCATGGTCAGCTGCGCCATGACTGGGCTGGGGGGGGGGGGGCTCTCACCTCCC